CGGAACATCAGTTCCGGGCAAACAAGGAGTTGAGTAGTTTACTTTGGGACTTTAGGTCTGTTACAGATTTTTATCTAGTGTCCCAAAACTAACAAGCATGTTTATCCATTAACTCACATTTAATCACAATGGGGCTGGAGAAAAGGAACAAAGGTTATGCAGTCCCACAGCACAATCCACTGGATCAATGTGCTTCCAAGCGCTGACCTACAAGGTTCATCCCTGTAGTCGCTAAGAGTTGGGCAGATATTTATGGTCAACACTATTGTCTTTAGGTTCCATGTTTCAGAGGTAATGTTTTTTTTTTTTTGAGGCAGGGTCTGGCTACGTAGTTCAGTCTGGCCTTTAACTCCCAGTGATCGTCCTGCCTCAGTTACCCAAGCGTTGGGATTACAGGTGGGCGCCACCATGCCTGGAGGGAGGTGGTAATGTTGGTTTATATGTGTGTTCTTTTCTTTCATGGGCGTGCATTGGTGGGGCAGGCAGGAAGATGATGTATGCAGCACTTCTACAGAGATGCCTTTGCAGGCCTTGACTGCATGGCGTTGGCATCCTCATTCTCTCTGATCACCTTAGTCTTCTGCTTTGCACAGACCACAGCTTTACTTGCATTCGTCTCCCTCCCTAGACTGTAGGCTGCATGAGGTTAGGAATCTAACGCATTCCTGCTCTGCCCTGTAATCTCGCCGCCAGAGAAACATCTGGGGCATAACCGGTAGCCACAAGTTGCTCCCTGCACCAGAGCTCAGGAGGCCCCCTGGGCGCAATCGTCCGGTCCACCTTGGCCAGCCCTGGTTTGGGCGTGGCGGGGCGAGCGCAGCCGCGCTCTGGCTGGGATGTTTCTAGGGTGGGGTGGGCGCGGCCCGTGGGGAGCGGGAGGGAGCGGGAGGGAGCGGGAGGGAGCGGGAGGGAGCGGGAGGGGGCGGGCACGCCGAGAGGCAGCAATTTGGCCAATGAGCGCTGGGCGGGCGTGGTCGGTGCAGCCACTCGGGAGCGCGCGGGGCTGGGCGTGCCGCGGTGACGCGAGGGTCCGGGCGGGCCAATGGGCGTGGGGTGAGGGCCGGGCCCGGCGCCTGGGGCTTAGGACCTGGGTGGGCGGCCGGACCGACCGTCTTGCGGCAGCATCGCGGGAGGCGGATGGCGGGAATGGCGTTGGCGCGGGCCTGGAAGCGGATGTCCTGGTTCTACTACCAGTACCTGCTGGTCACGGCGCTCTACATGCTGGAGCCCTGGGAGCGGACGGTGTTCAGTATCCTCCCCGGCGGGCCGGGGGCGCGGGGCCCAGGCGAGGATCGCGCGCCCGAGCGCTGCGGGAGGAAGAGCTGAGGCCGGGGCTCGGGAGTGCCGGAGCCGGGTCTGCGCTCCGCCTTCGGAGGAGGCGCCCAGGGCGCCCCCTTGGGAGGCAGGGGCCGTGTCCGGAGCTGGCAGATCGCTTGCGGCGTGGCCGCCTTTGACCTTTAGCTGTCCCCGACTTAGCTGGCCGTGGTCCTTAGGAGAATCCTAACCAGTTCACCAGCTTTTCTACGAGGTTATGAATTTGTGGTCGTTGACGTCTCAGTACATTTTACTATTTTTTTTAAAGTTGGAATTTTTTTTTTGTTTGTTTGTACCGGGGATCGAACTCGGGTCGTTGCGCTTGCGGGGCCCGCGGCGGAACCACTGAGCTAAATCCCCGGCCCTTAGTACGTTTTTTGAAAGGAGTTTAAGTTACTAGACCATTTATTTATTTATTTGCTCTTCAAGATGGCAGTTTTAAAAGTGTGTTTGGTTCGTGAGTTCTTTGCACTGGAGGTGGAAGCCGTGCCCGAGAAGGAATTTGTGGTTAGTTGTCCTTAAAGTTTGAGACGATGCCTTGGTGGACAGGTAGTGAAATCTTGTTAAGGACTTTTGAGTGATTCCTGGTAACCAGTTGTGCTAACCGCTTTGGGTGCATCTCAGACGCCTCTGATTTTCACAGCAACCTCAGTGAATAACTCAGGGTTGTGAAGAGAGGCCTCCTGGGGTCTGTGATGCTTGTCTTCTCCAGTGGTAGATGACATCCTTGAACGACATTATTCCCGCAGAATAAAGACAAGAATGTGAGGTAACTTTGTTTTTTTAAAAATTCAAGCTTGTAGAAATCAAAGATTTCTAATCGTACTTGTTCGTTAAATGCAGGCTTTCTGCTTATCACAGTGGTTTATCTGGAGTAGCTTACTCCAGAACCACTTTGCAAATGCACGACTGCATTCCAGTGAAGTAATTTCATTCCGAGCCTTATCAAGTGTGAATACCCTACTCAAGGCTCATCTTTTTTTTTTTGTTTGGTACCGGGGATCGAATTCTGGGTCCTTGTGCTTGTGGCAGGCGGTGGAACCACTGAGCTAAATCCCCGGCCCTCAAAGCTGATCTTTTGTTTTTGCACTTCTGAAGACTTTTAGCTGCTAAGGAGAATTTATTGCTGTTGACATTTCTTTCCAAACCTGGAATTTAAGAACCAGAATTCGTGTTTTGGATTTAGACTCGGCTATAAAAGTTTGCTCTGATTTTCTGCATCTGTTTGGTTTCTGTCTAGGTTTTGCAAGTCAGGGCTCATGAGGTCATGCTTTGTAAAATGTACTCTTAAATATATATTTTAATTGAAATTTCTCAAAGAGAAAAGCAGGCATTTTGACTCACTTAAAATTGTCTTACAGTTAAACAGTGTTGGGATAAATTTAAACTTTTAAAATCCAAAGTTGAATGTAGAGCCCAGTAGTAGAGTTGGTGTAACTTTAACACCTAAAAGCTTTCGTGAGCATATGGATAAATGCTGTGGTGTCAATATTTTTTTGCATTGTTTTGCAATAGTAATAGTGTCCTATAAATACCTAGGCTTTTTTGGAGATGGAGAAATAAATTATGAAGTGAAGTATGTTGCCATAGTAGATATTGCCAAGGATATTTTGACTTATCATTGGTTTATGTGTCCAAGTGATTTTTCTTTTTTTTTTTTTTTGAGATAGGGTCTTACTTATGTAGCTCAGACTGGCCTCGAACTCAGCAGTGATCCTTCTAGCTCAGCTTCCCCTGCCCCTCAGCGCTGGATTACAGGTGTGTGCCACCATGCTTGGCATGTGACCTAATGGTTTAATCATTTTGTTTTGGTTTTTTTGGTTCTCGAAATTGAACATGGGCCTCACACTGAACTGTATCACCAGTCTTTTTGTTTTTGAGACAGGGTTTTGCTATGTAGTTCAGGCTGGCCTTGAACTCATTATTTAGCCCAGTTTGACCTTGAACTCCAGCAGTCCTCCTGCCTCAGCCTCCCAAGTGCTGAGATCACAGGTGTGCATCACCACACGTGGCTTATTTTTTATTTTGAAACAGGGTCTTGCTAAGTTGCTCAAGCTGTGATCCTCCACCTGAGTCCTAAGTAGCAGTGATTACAGGTGTATGCCACTATGTCAGGCTAAAAAATTTTTTTCTTAATTACTGGGAAATGCAACCAGCTGGCATTTGGTTCTGTAGAATCTTATAGTTTTAAAGCTGAAAATTAAAAAAAAAACCCTTATTTCAAAGTTCATATTGTTGATTTAATCTAGAGTAGAAATGCAATCCTTTTTTTTTTTTGGTACCAGAGATCGAACTCTGAGTCCATGCGCTTGCGCAGCAGGTGGGGAAACCACTAGCTAAATCCCCGGCCCAGAAATGCAATCCTTTGACAAAAACCAATCTTAAATTACTATTAGTTGTATTTACAGTATTCCACCTCAACTTCTGGAAGCATTTTAGTTGGGCATTTCATGGTCTTATAGCTTGGGACATCAATTTGGGATTGAATCCTCCTCCTGGCCTGGAGGAAAGAGCTAAGTGAAAAAGCTGGTACCCTCCCCCTCAATCTGAAGCCTTACTGTGAAGTAGAATTTCATAAATTCATTAATAATTAGTAAATTTCACTCAGAACTATTTTGTGGCCAGTTTTATAGTTTTGGAAAGAGGCACACTTTCTGTCGCTTAAAAAATTAAACTGGGGGGCCGGGGATTTAGCTCAGTGGTTTCCCTGCCTGTTGCGCAAGCTCAAGGACCCGAGTTCGATCCCTGGTACCCCCCCCCCCAAAAAAATTAAACTCGGGGCTGGGAGTGCAGCTGGTAAGGGAAGTAGAGGGGATGAGCCTGCATGTGGCCTTGGTTTCAATCCCTGGCACCAAAAACAAAACAAATGAACATAGAGCATGATATCACTGCCAGAAACCTAAATTTAGGTGTTTTTTTCTTCTTGGTACCTGGGATTGAACTCTGAACCTTGTGCCTGTGAGGCAGGCATTGGAACCATTGAGCTAAATCCCTGGCTCAGGTGTTTTTTTTTTTTTTTCCCCAGTTTTTTTCAACAAGGTCTTGCTCTGTAGTCCAGGCTGGTGTGGAACTCACCATGTAGCCCAGGCTGGCCTCAAACTCAAGACAATATTCCTGCCTCAGCCTCCTGTATGCTGAGATTATAGGTGTGTGCCACCACACCTGGCTAGAAACCTAAAATGTAATGTGAGAGAACTTTGCCTCTTTGTCTGAAAATTGGTTTCTGAGTTTGAAGTCCTTGACAGAGGAAGACTAGCTTAATCTTTAATTCCTTAAAGAAAGTAAATATGTTAGTTTACATTTCTTTTCTATAACTTTAATAATTTGAAGTTCCTATTTTAGGGAAAGTAATAGCCTACTGTAACTGTATAACTGCACTCTCTAGGGGCCTCCTTGAACATATGCATGTATGTTTAGAAGTTATTTGGTTCTCCCCTCCCAAACCAAATAGCTAGAAGTTAGTTAAAAGTTGTAAATTGAGAGTCAGTCCCAATTGAATGGTTTTAAACTTATGTAAATAAATTGTGATTTATAAAAATATTTTAAGGAAAATGCATCTGTGTCAAGTTAGACACATTGTAAATAGTTACTGAAACAATAAGTTTTATAAGTGGCCAGGGTTTAGCTTAGTGGTTTCGGCGCCTGCCGTGCAGGTGCAAGGTCTGAGTTCGATCTTTCGTACCAAAAAAAAAAAGTTTTATAAGTGATATTTATGATTTATTTATTAACAGGGTCTTGCTATGTAGTTCAGGCTGGCTCCTGAACTCACTATTGTAGCTTGGGGTGATCTCAAACTTACGGCAATTCTCCTGCCTCAGCCTCCAAGTGCTGGGATGATATCGGCTTGTACCAGCATGTCAGGCTTGTGAGTTTTAAAAATCCTTCCATTGGGCCGGGGATTTAACTCAGTGGTTTTGCCGCCTGCTGTGCCAGCGCAAGGACCCGAGTTCGATCCCCGGTACCAAAAAAAAAATCCTTCCATATTAGGGTCTGTACCTTAAATTTTCTCTTATCTGAATTCTGCTACAACATTTGAAATGATATATTAGATACTGGTTTGACAACCAATATTTGAGCTTTTCCCATGTGCAGACATGGTTTTTATCTTACAAGGAAGTGGAACCTGACACCTGCATTGAGACAAAAGTAACAATAAAAAGCCTTTTAAGTACAATATTAACTCCCAGGATCTTGGAATAGGTGGTGAACCACTGACCTCACCTTAGGAGGGAAGGTTTTTAACTTTCAAACCTTTAAATATGTTTCAAAAGCCCACTTCTTCAGATGAGATAGGAAAGGAAAAAAACCAAGTTTTGTAACCAAGACAGATTTTATAACCAGTGAGACACTCCAGGTGTGGTGTCATTAAGTAACGTTGTAGCCATATTTGTTGAGGGGAGGTGGACAGATTAAAAAGTTAAAGTAATCTGAACCATAAAAATGTTATTGTAATCTTGTTTTATTCATTACAGATACACTTGCATTAATTTGCAGTTACTGGTTCATACTTGCCACTCTCTGCTTATTTGCATGACTTTTTTTCCTTTTTCCCTTCCCTCCCTCCCTCCCTCTCCCTCCTTTCCTTCCTCTTTCCATGCTTCCTTCTGTCTCTTTCTCTTGTCTCTTTTTTTTTTTTTTTCTGTCGGTCTGTCTGTATGTCTCTGCCTCTTTCTGTCTCTGTGCCTGAGATCCAACCTAGGGCTTCATGCACACTAGGGAAGTGCTCTACTATCCCCAGCCCCAGACATTTTTTTTGGATACAGTATGATACAGTAGAACAACTAGTTACATAACAGTTATTTATTAGTATTATAAGTAATCTGGCGATAGTTTAAAGGTTTTTTTTTTGGTACTGGGGATGGAATGGAGATGGTTTAAAGTAAATGGGAGAATGTATGTAGGTTATATGCAAATATTATGCCTCTTCTTTCCTTCCTTCTTTTCTTTTGTGGTACTTGGGATTGATTACAGGGCCTTTGCATTGAGCTAAATCCCCAGCCCAGTTTTATTACATTTATTAATGACAGAGTCTCACCAAGTCTCTAAATTACCAGACTGGGCTTGAATTTGTGATCCTCTTGCCTCAGGTTTCTAGAGTGCCAGGATTATGGGTGTGTGTCACTACGCCTGGGCACTATTCTATTTTATGTAAGAGACTTAAGTGTTCCGCAGTTTTTGCGCTCTGGGGGCAGGGGTTCTGGAACCAGCCCCCTACAGATAATGAGGAATAACTCTATACATTTTAAAAATTAATCTTCATATGACTCAAAATTATTTTCATTTGGAATGGAAAAATACAAACTATGAACATTTGTTTCCCTCATTTTGATGTGCTGTTTTGAGTTTTGTGGTAACTTTCCAAGATGAATTTTATTTGCTTCAAGGAAACTGGAGACTTATTTCAGGAAAAATGAGCATTTACACATTTTCTTAGATGGGCCCTTCCTGTGTTTCAGCTGAGGGAACTGAATAGCATTGGTGCTCAGGGATTCGGGGCCAGAAGAGCATGGTGCACTGGACCTGCAGGACTTGCAGGGAGGTATTTGGGTGGTGTTTGTTATTTTCAGACGAGAAGGAGGCATAGATGGGTGCAGAGGTGCATGGGGGTGGCGAGGACTCCAGTCTTCCTGGCTAAGCATTCTTTAAGACAGAGTAGATGGGGAGTTGGAAAAGTAGGTTGTGGCTTTTCATTAACTTAGCAAATACGATTGATGCTTGGTGTCTGGGTGCTGGATCTGTGGATTTAACTAACTGTGGATTGAAATAGTAGCTGGTGACAAATCTTTCTGCCTCAGGCTAAGCCACCTTGGGACAACCACTGTTAGCAGTTTTCTGTGTATTTCTCCTGAGATACCCTGAATACGTAGAATTCTCTCTCTCTCTCTCTCTCTCTCTCTCTCTCTCATCTATCTATCCATTTGGCAGTTCCTAGAGATTGAACCCAGAGTCTTGTACATGCTAGGCAAGCAGTCTACCATGGAGCCACATCCCCATGTCTTTTTTATTTATTTATTTTTTTGAGGCAGAGTCTCACTGAGTTGCCCAGTCTGGCCCCTAACTCACAATCTTCCTGTCTCAGCCTCTCCAGTAGCTGGGAGTATGAGTGTGTGCCATTATATCTGGTGGAAATATACTCTTAGTAGATGTGGGTTTTTTTGTTTGTTTTTTGTTTTTTGGTACTGGGGATCGAACTCAGGTCTTTGCGCTTGCACAGCAGACAGTGAAACCACTGAACTAAATCCGCGGCCCCTAGTAGATGTGTTTTGATGTGTGTGGTTTGGTAAAATCAAAATTTTATTTTATTTTTTTGTTTTTTTGAGGGAGGGTCTCCCTTTGTAGTTCAGGTTGGCCCTGAATTCACTGTGGAGCCCAGGCTGGCCTTGAACTCATGGCAATCCTCCTGCCTCAGCCTCCCAAGTGCTGGGATTACAGGTGTGTGCCACAATGCCTGGCTAAAAGCCTTTTTTTTTTTCTGGTTTCAGGAATAGAACCCAGGGCCATGTGCTTGCCAGGCCAGTGCAGCACCACTGAGCTACATCCCCGACAAAAATCAAAAATTTTATAAGCCGCAAGAGAGGTGTTTGAAGAATATATTTTGCTATGGCATTATTCGGAGATACGAATAAGGATTGGCCTAACTCCCTGCAATTAAATTAGCTTCTCTGTCTGCTTTTTTTTGTTTATATTTGTTTATATTGCATATTTTGTAAATAGGCACAACAAGCAAAACTGATGAAGAAAACTGCATTTAGTGATTGGACACCTTTTTTTTGGTACCGGGGATCGAACTCAGGACTTTGCGCTTGTGAGGCAGGCCCGGTGTCACTGAGGTAAATCCCTGGCCCGATTGGACACCTGTTGCTTCCCCTCTTCCCTGTCTTTGGCAGAGTATCCCCTGAGCTAGTCAATAAAGGGAATTCTTAAAACCCCAATTCACCAGAATCTTTTACTAGAATTTCTCTGTTAATGAGCTCTGTTTTTGAAGAAAATGTATAGAACCACCTGAGACTTTAATAGACTTCCAATAAAAATCAGTGTGTGATTTGATAATTAAGCAAAACTGTCACTATCAGAAAAAGATACTTCTAGAAAAGACTGTAATGCCTTTTAGAAACATTTTTTATCTCAATACTTTAAAACAAAATGTAATTTCAGAATAATTGAAATAACCTGAACATGTTGTATGACCTTCAAATTTAAGTTAAAAAGAAATATTTCTCAAGTGATCTTCAATCTTTCTTTTGTATTTTCTGCCATTATCTTTGCCCTTTTCTTTGTAGAAATAAATGCTGCTTCTGTGGGTTAAGAGGAGGGAGAAGAAGAGGCTGGAATGATTGTGACTGATAAATTAATAATTCCAGTCCTGCAGTCTGGTGGTCTTCAGAATTTGGGTTTGTGTATCCTTCCACACAAAGCATGGATTGTATCATTCCCTTACTCATTTAAGTGGATGTACAATTCTTTCATTGTAAACTTAGGTAGTTGTAAAGAATTTAATTTCTTGCTTTTCATACATGTATTTTAATATTGTATATTTTTGTTAAAACTACATATTTTTTTCTCACATTTCATAGAAAGTGTTCATCACATAACTGGTTGGCAAAGCCAGTCCTCACTGTGAAGCCAACAGGCTAAAGGAGTCTTAATTTCTGTCAGAAAAAAAGCTCAGTTCTGTTTTCTTGGTCAAATAATTGTGTTAATGTAAACGCCTTTAATCTGTCTCACTTCTGAATGCAGATCTTTGGATGGATAAACAGGTGTGCCAGAAGAGTGTCACCTGAATGACCAACCCAAGTTACTATTCCTTTGTTTCATGTCCCAGAGGTGGTTGTTATTATTATTATTATTATATTATTATTATTATTTTGGTACCAGGGATCGAACTCAGGACCTTGAGCTTGTGAGGCAGGTGTGGCACCACTGAGCTAAATCCCTGGCCCTATTATTATTTTTGTGGTACTGGGAATTGGGCCTTTCCCCTGAGCCACATCCCCAGACTATTATGATGATGATGATGATACACTAAGTCATCAAATTGCCCAGGCTGGGATTGAACTTGGGATCCTTCTGCCTCAGCCTCCCAGAGGGCTGGGATTACAGGTATGGACTACCATGCTTGCCTCCCAGAGGTTATTTTATATCCTCTGTACAATTTTGAGATTTAGCAGGTAAAATGGGAGGGGTGCAGTTGTAAGTGGGGCTGAGGAGAACTAGCTATGCCATTAACACTTCTCAGACAGATCAGTGTTCGGAGAGAGGATCGTGGGACAGATCCATAAGTGGATTCTCCTTAAATTAAGCCTAGCCTCCTGGAATAGCATCTTGTTAACCTCCAGGTCTCTCGAGCTTTAGTTTGAAGATATCTGCTGTACTCTGTTTTACAGTGCCTGGCTAAGTGAGAATGTTATATCTTTTATCTGTACTCCCTAGGCTGATGTAACTCTTCAGTAGCTTGCACCAAAGGCGTAAGATAATGAAAACCATGCTTAACAAGAACTAGCTGGTCTGTCCCAGAGCAGGCAGAAGTCATGGGTGCTTAATGGTGATAGGGACTGATCACACATCCATATTTTATTTCTCCTGCTTCATTTTTAGAAAGGTTTTATGATCTTTTAGGCTTTGAATGTTGTAACGTTTATGGCATATAGGAGTTAAGCTAAGATGGATTCTTTCATTTTTTTTAAAAGAACAAACTCCAAATGTTTACATTTAGTAATTAAAACTATGTTCCAGAAGATCTATTTGATAGAATATATATATACTTTTATAAATTGGGATGTCTAAAAATAGTTATGGAATTATACAAAGATAATACTTATGGTCAATTATGAGAAATAGTTTTACCTAGGTAAGAATGTGGCCAGCATGTGTTATATATGTTTCTGAAAAATTCTCAAATAATAAGGTTATGGGAAAATAGTATTGAGGCAGCCTACTAAAAATCTGGGCAACTTAGTAAGCAGTCACTAACAAAAACAATAATCGGCATCTTTTTTTGGGGGGGGGACTGGGGATCGAACTTGGGACCTTGTGCTTGTGAGGGAGGTGGCAGAACTACTGAGCTAAATCCCCGGCCCAATAATTGGCATCTTGAGGGATAACTTGGTTAGAATGGTGTGGCTGGACGCTGTCCCAGGGGTCATTAAAAATGCGTGGACCAAGGTGAGTGGAAATGGTGGTGGTGGGTGCAGTGCGTGGTATGGGCTGCTGCTGAGACTGCAGGAGGCAGTGCTGCTTGCCATTAACAGAGAACCCTGCTAGCCCGAGGTACTAAGCTCCAGAGGGAACCCAGGTGTGGATGCTAATTTCTAGTTTTCTTAAAATGGAGTTAAAAGGACTTCTGTTTTGTGCAGCAGCTGAACTGAGAGATGTTTCCTGTTGAAGGTTATAATGTTTTTTCTATAAATCTGGATCCCCTGACCCCAAAACAAA